TCGAAAGTGGCGACAGTTTCACCGGTCGCAGCCCACCAGAGATGGCGAGGTCTAATCTGAGTCCCCGTGGTGCCTCACTCCGCTGGACCCACCAGCAGCCCTCGAAAGTGGTGACAGATTCACAGATCGCAGCCACCCCCAGAGATGGCGAGGTCTAATCTGAATCCCCGTGGTGCCTCACTCCGCTGGACCCACCAGCAGCCCTCGAAAGTGGCGACGGTTTCACAGATCGCAGCCCCCCCAGGGATGGCGAGGTCTAATCTGAGTCCCCGTGGTGCCTCACTCCGCTGGACCCACCAGCAGCCCTCGAAAGTGGCGACAGATTCACAGATCGCAGCCCCCCAGGGATGGCGATGTCTAATCTGAGTCCCCGTGGTGCCTCACTCCGCTGGACCCACCAGCAGCCCTCGAAAGTGGCGACGGTTTCACAGATCGCAGCCCCCCCCCAGGGATGGCGAGGTCTAATCTGAGTCCCCGTGGTCCTCACTCGCTGGACCCACCAGCAGCCCTCGAAAGTGGCGACAGATTCACAGATCGCAGCCCCCCCCCCCGGAAGGGATGGCGAGGTCTAATCTGAGTCCGTGGTGCCTCACTCCCTGGACCCACCAGCAGCCCTCGTAAGTGACGGACAGTTTCACAGATGCAGCCCCCCCCCGAAGATGGCGAGGTCTAATCTGAGTCTGCGTGGTGCCTCACTCCGCTGGACCACCAGCAGCCCTCGAAAGTGGCGACAGTTTCACAGATCGCAGCCCCCCAGGGATGGCGAGGTCTAATCTGAATCCCGTGGTGCCTCACTCCGCTGGGCCCACCAGCAGCCCTCGAAAGTGGCGACAGTTTCACAGATCGCAGCCCCCCCAGGGATGGCGAGGTCTAATCTGAGTCCCCGTGGTGCCTCACTCCGCTGGACCCACCAGCAGCCCTCGAAAGTGGCGACAGTTTCACAGATCGCAGCCCCCCCCAGGGATGGCGAGGTCTAATCTGAGTCCCCGTGGTGCCTCACTCCGCTGGACCCACCAGCAGCCCTCGAAAGTGGCGACAGTTTCACAGATCGCAGCCCCCCCAGGGATGGCGAGGTCTAATCTGAGTCCCGTGGTGCCTCACTCCGCTGGACCCACCAGCAGCCCTCGAAAGTGGCGACAGATTCACAGATCGCAGCCCCCCCAGGGATGGCGAGGTCTAATCTGAGTCCCCGTGGTGCCTCACTCTGCTGGACCCCCCAGCAGCCCTCGAAAGTGGCGACAGTTTCACAGATCGCAGCCCCCAGAGAAAAGAGAAGGAGGAGGAGAAGGGAGGAGAGGAGGGGGACGGGAAGGAGGAGAAGGGAAGACGCGCGAGGAGTGCTCTATTCAAAACGAGAACCCAACCAAGGAGGGTTGGGAAATTACCCTGCGACGTACCCAACCCACGTGCATCAAGTGGCAAGAGGAGTAGGCCAACATTAGCAGGAGCAACGATAATGTAGGCGATGTGAATTGCTGTGCAAACTGCATGGGATGCGCACGCATTGCACGGCTCACAGGACGACGATCGAAAGAACGAGGATTAAAGCCCCAGGCTCGCGTATGACGTCACTCCGCTGGGCCACCCAGCAGCCCTCGACAGTGGTGACAGTTTCGCAGATCGCAGCCCCCCAGGGATGGCGAGGTCTAATCTGAATCCGAATATGTTCCCACTCCGCTGGGCCTTCCAGCAGCCCTCGAAAGTGGCGACAATTTCGCAGATCGCAGCCCTTCGGGGATGGCGAAGTCGAGCCTGAGTCTGCGTAGGACCCACTCCGCTGGCCCCCCAGCAGCCATCGAAAGTGGCGACGGTTTCGCAAATCGCAGTCCCCCAGGAATAGCGACCCACTCCGCTGCCCCCCCCCCCCCAGCAGCCCTCGAAACTGGCGACAATTTCGCAAATCGCAGCCCCCCCTAGCGATGGCGAGGTCTAATCTGAGTCCCCTTGGGGGCTCACTCCGCTGGTCACCCCAGCAGCCCTCGGAAGTGGCGACAATTTCGCAGATCGCAGCCCCCCAGAGATGGCGAGGTCTAATCTGAGTCCCCGTGGGGCCTCACTCCGCTGGGCCCCCCAGCAGCCCTCGAAAGTGGCGACGGTTTCACATCACAGATCGCAGCCCCCCAGGGATGGCGAGATCTAATCTGAGTCCCCGTGGTGCCTCACTCCGCTGGGCCCCCCAGCAGCCCTCGAAAGTGGCGACAGTTTCACAGATCGCAGCCCCCCCAGGGATGGCGAGGTCTAATCGGAGTCCCCGTGGTGCCTCACTCCGCTGGACCCACCAGCAGTCCTCGAAAGTGGCGACAGTTTCACAGATCGCAGCCCCCAGAGATGGCGAGGTCTAATCTGAATCCCCGTGGTGCCTCACTCCGCTGGACCCACCAGCAGCCCTCGAAAGTGGCGACAGTTTCACAGATCGCAGCCCCCCAGAGATGGCGAGGTCTAATCTGAGTCCCCGTGGTGCCTCACTCCGCTGGACCCACCAGCAGCCCTCGAAAGTGGTGACAGTTTCACAGATCGCAGCCACCCCCAGAGATGGCGAGGTCTAATCTGAGCCCCCGTGGTGCCTCACTCCGCTGGACCCACCAGCAGCCCTCGAAAGTGACGACGGTTTCACAGATCGCAGCCCCCAGAGATGGCGAGGTCTAATCTGAATCCCCGTGGTGCCTCACTCCGCTGGACCCACCAGCAGCCCTCGAAAGTGGCGACAGTCTCACAGATCGCAGCCCCCCAGAGATGGCGAGGTCTAATCTGAGTCCCCGTGGTGCCTCACTCCGCTGGACCCACCAGCAGCCCTCGAAAGTGGCGACAGTTTCACAGATCGCAGCCCCCAGAGAAAAGAGGAGGAGGATGAGAAGGGAGGAGAGGAGGGGCACGGGAAGGAGGAGAAGGGAAGACGCGCGAGCAGTGCTCTATTCAAAACGAGTACCCAACGCAGGAGGGTTGGGAAAAACTGGAATCTCCAACGAAAAATCGATATATCGAGGTACCCGCACGGGACATCGGCGCATGGCAACTTCACGGGGTAACCATTATACAATCACACGCAACAACACGCGACAACAACGACACAACTGCACGCGACAACCACGGGACAACACGCGACAACCGCAAACCACCCCTGGAGAATAACACGAGAGAAGCTTGTCGGCCCTGCCTCTCGGCGCGACCCCTCATCTCATGTCGCCCGCTCGCGCAGCTTCGCCTCGCCCGTGCGTGCGGCACGGCACGGGCCGAGTCGAGACCGACTCCCCAGCTGGTCGCGCCCGCGACCTCCATTGGCGACGCTCCGCTGGATCTCCAACGGGGGCGCAGGGACAGCGACGGGAGTGCGTTCGGGAACACCCAGAAACTCCCACGACGTAGCCCTCTGGGGCGGAGGTGGTGCAGGGCATTGCTCCAACCCCCAACGCATACCCTGGGTCTGGACGGGGGCAGCGCGGAGCGGTCGGCGCATCCAGGATGGCCCAAGTGGCTCCATGACAGCTCCACGTAGCCCAATATGACCTCCCAGATGGCACAAGAAGTCCTCCGAAAGCTGTCCTCCAGCGTGCCTCCGCAGGGCCCCAAGGCCGCTTCACGACGGCTTCAAGTGGCCACAGAGCCTCCCCATGATGCCCCCGAGTTGCAAAAAATCGCCCAAACCTAGAAAGGAACCAACGATCTGTCACGTCTCGTCGTTTCGTTTCCGAGGGGCACCCGAGGGCCTTAAGATGGCCCCAAGCGAGTCCCAGGAGGGGCACATGAGGGATCCAAGACGGCCACAAGAGCACGCGAGATCGCCCCAAGAGCGTTCCAAGAAGGCCCCAAGACGCGAGTGCCTGGTTCTCGCAGGAGCGGCGCTCATCAGCGCTGCCCCCTTTGCCCACAGCCAGCATCGTTGAAGAGCGTGTGGTTGTTCAAATAGTTGGCACGTCGGGGGCATCGTGGGGAGGCTTTGGGACCAACGTGGCGGCTGCGTACACAAGTGAGGAACTGGTATGCCCGACCGCTGAGCCACCATGACTACGGCAGGCTCGTGTCGTGCCGACTTCGGCGGTGGTTCCTGACACTGCGGGGATCGTTCAACCTTGAACGATCGGCCGTGTCCGAACCGTCAGATCTTTCAACATCGACCAGCTCTGGGTCGCGGACGACGTTCCACGTGGAACGCCGGCGGCGGGGGTCGCCGCTGGTCGACGCGACGCGAACCTGCCGTGTGCGAGTCCAAGACGAACGGATGCGGGCAAAAAAAACGAGCGGCGCCAGCGCCGGGCACGCGCGGACATTGAAGGGGCCCTGGGACAAACAAATAAATGGACACAAATCACAGGATTCCCCATATTTTCATATGTTTTCTGGGTTTCTGTCTTCCCCCCCCACTTCCCGTACTTTCCTATATTTTCTGGGGAATCGACGATTCATTGTGTCGTGTGGTTTTTCCCCTCCTGAGACATGGACTGCGGATCCGCAGAGACTGCGGATCCGCAGAGCTGGCGCGTGGGCGGCGGATCCGCTGATCGGGGCAAATGCCCCCTGGAACATGCAGCCGGCGTCGCCCGACTTGGGCGACGGAACGCGTCTGAGTGGTGTGGAAGCGAGGCCCATCGCTGTTCCGCGCGCCTGGATGCGTGTTCCGACGCATGAACAACACTTTTGATCCGCGGGTCGAGAGCGCACCTCTTCCAGTCGAAGCTAAGCGGGCCGCGCGAAGCTTGAATTAAGCAGAGAAGAGGGGGAGGAAGCGGCGGAGCCTCAGAGCGAGGCCGAGAGCAACGCATGAACAACACACACCATGCCCATCCGTGGGCCAGGGGGAGGCGGACTGCCTATGGGACCATGGGTATGGGCGCGTGTTGTCGGACCCCAGGGGAGGCTCCCGTTCGAGCGGGGACCCCGTCCAACAACACGCACCCATACCCCCCTTCGTCATCCCTATGGGTATGGATGCGTGTTGTTCGCTCGTCACACATCCTCCCTGCATCCCCTGCAGCTGGCGCACAGCTTGTGGCCCCCCTGGGCACCGGCCAGTCGTCCACCGCCCGCCGCGCGACAGTGGCCGACCGGGACCGAGGCATCCTTGCAGAAGCGCCTTTTCGAGGGGGTGTGGGGAGTCCTCCAACTCCTTATCCGATTCCTCCAACTCCTCCCCCAACTCCTCCAACTCTTCATTTTGTTTCTTCAGCTCACCCTCCTCCAACTACTCCTCCTCCAGCTCGTCTCCCTCATCCCCCATGCGGCCTCCTCCTCCTCCTCATCCTCCTCCTCCCCAGCGTCTCCATCCTCCTCCCTTGAGAATCCTCCTCGTCCTCCTGCTCAGCCTAGTCTAGGGAGAATGAGCTCGCAGCTTCGCTGCGAGGAGGGTGGGACAGGGGCGTTTCCCCGGCGAAATCGCCCTCGCCTCTCTCACCTTCATCCTCCTCCTCCTCCTCCTCCTCCTCCTCCTCCTCCTCCTCCTCCTCCTCCTCCTCCTACTCCTCCTCCTCCTCCTCCTCCTCCTCCTCCTCCAACGGCGCGCTGTTCCAGAATGAGCTCCTCCCTCTGGAAATCTGGTGGCTCCTCGTGCACCCACAACACAATGACTCAGCACCCGAGGGCGAGGACTAGGCGACCAGGTCCGACCACCTGCTCCTGAAGGCTTCTGGAGTGCCTTGAAAGCGGGGCTCCAGAGGATCGGAAGTTGCCGTGTTACTCCCGTGCGCTGGCATCGTTAGGGGGCCGCATGCAAACCCTACCCCCCACGATTTCTGAGGGGGAGCGTGGGGTAGGATTCGCATGCGGCCCCCTAATCGTAATCGTGGTGTTCCCCGTCCCCGAAACGATGATCGCACGCGTTGGCTTCACTGTGGATGTCCAGGCTTATGGGGCAGCGGGATCCCGGGCAATACTCGCATGCTGATCGTGCTTCCGTCACGCGCCATCGGCGCGAAGAAGCTTTGCTGGCCCAGCACGTTGCAGGTTTTCATTTGCAGCGCTCTGGCATGCCTCGCATCACCGACTCTCACGACCTCGTCAACGTTTGCGCGCCAGCAGCTGGTCGTGCATCCGCAATGTGATGCATCGCATGGTGCTTCCTGCTTCTGAGTCGTTTGGACGTCAGCGCTTTCGACGAGCTGCAGTTACTCTTGCGGGGTGTGATAGAGTTAGGTTGGGCCTGTCCCCCTACAGGGGGAGTTGGGGCGAAAACTTAAAAATACAAAACAAGACCAAAACAAAATTAAAAAAAACATGCTCAAAAATAATCAAAGAATTGTCCCCATAATATGTTTTGACTACTTTTGAATATTCCCCCTCTAGAGGGACAGGCCCGACCTAATGATAGAGACATCAAGTTCAGCCCTGGCTGTGGGGGGCTGATGGGGGAGACGGGTTCGCCGTGCGCAGCTGCATTCGCACGTTCGACCCCGCCGTCCATGAGTGGCGGGAGGAGGCAGGGAATACGCGGGACCCGCGCGTCGACCAACTCGTCGCTCGTTCGCAGCTGGGAAGGGAGCTGAGTATCGGTTAAACGATCCCCATCCCCAGCGGCGTGGCCTGGGCCCCACTGGCCGATGTACCCCCCTCGATGGGCATATAGGCCGTCCCTTTCGGATTTCGAGGGGTGTATCCCCAACTGGGGGGGTAATTTGGTGGGGGTCTCGGAGGGGATGAGGATGAGGATGGGGGTCGGTTGAAGGATACTGAGGAGCGGGTCGATAACTCGCCCACTAAGTACGCAGATGGTCTTACCAAGAAGCTGGTAGGCGGTTGCGATACATCTGCCGCTGACCTTTCCATGGCTGGCTCCTATCGAAGCGGGACTTGGATGAATGTCTGGGCCCAGCAGGGCATACGCAAACTTTAGTGAAGCAGGGCCGTGGAATTGGCAGGGGAAGTGGTTCCGCTTATCATGCTATTCGCTCGAGGGATGTTCGTTTCCTAAGAAGGCGGTACAGCTGGTCAAGAGTCCTGGGGTCATAATAGGGGACCTCGCCGCTCTCTTTCAGTCAAGAGCTCAAGGCAAGAGTGGCTGCTGCTCGCGCTGGGTGGCACTCACTCGGCTCATTATGTAATCTTGCAGGGGTGCCTCGTCGTTTTCGTCGGTGTATGTTGCTGTGCAAGGTGTATGCTGGTCTGGAGGCGCACTTGCCGGTCAAAGCTGATTGTGACAAGCTCACGGGTGTGGCTGCAGCAGACGAACGCAAAACCATGCGTGGCACTGACTGTGATCGTGATGCTGACCCATGCTTGCTCACGAAGGTTGAGGTTTAAAATGGTTGCGCCTTGTACCCATTGAACTCGAGGCTCCCATTCGCCGCTGACGTCTACTTCAAAAGTTAGTATAATATCCTCGAGAGCATACATAAATTCTGGGTGCTTTACTTGGCACTTGTGGTGGAGAAAGGAGACACCTGTATTCCGTGTTCACCCCCTGTGGTCGTCTGGCGGCACTGCACATCCCTGGGTTAGGAGAGTATGGGAAGATCTTGAGACCCTGCACGTGCTAGGCGAGGGAGGGGCCTTGCTTGAGTACTTGGATGGGAGGATGAGGAGGCACGGGATCATGAGACAATTGAGTAGCTTTTGTTCGGTTTCGATTGCACCGCCACGGTCCTGGGCTCCTGAGGGTATTCCCAGCCAGATATCCGACGATGTTCCTGAGCCTCCTGCTCCTGTGTTCGGGCGAGAAGGTGTTTACCATTGTCGGCTTGTCTGTAAAGATGGTGCGGCGCGCAAGGCCACTCTTCCTAATCGGCAGTGGTAGAGCGGCACGGCCATCGCATGGTCGCGCACAGCACTGCGCTTTGCAACCAGTGCCCTGTGTGCCATACCAGATTCAGCTCCCAGGTTACGTGTCGAAGACATCTGGTGTCAGGTCGGGCCTGTCCCCCTACAGGGGGATTTTGGGCGAAAAAGTAAACATACTCAAAACATACTCAAAAAAAACAAACATAGTCAAAAAAACGTCCCCTGACTATTTTTTGACTATTTTTGAATATTCCTCCTGTAGAGGGACAGGCCCGACTATAATCTGGTGCTCTCCTGCTCCTGGGGGATTCTGCAGACCCGGTGCTGCACGGGATCCTGCGTCGTTTGCTGTCCCCTCGACGCTGCAGTGCCCCTTGTGCGACGCGGCCAGGCCCAGGGGCTCCTCTCGGGACCTGCAGAAGCATCTTGTGAGGAAGAGGGGGGGGGGAGGAGGGAGGAGGGAGGAGGTGTTGGGACCACTCGGGGGGACCAAAACTAAAGACCTTTGGCGTCGTCGTCGTCGTCTGCGGGGTCGCGGGACTCGGCTCGTCCAGCTCGCCCGCTCCTCGCCTCGCGCGCAGGCGCCCTGTTCCAAGGGGGGCCTGGCGCTGGGGGCCGGAACTGAAGGGGGGGGGGGGGGCCAAAACTGAAGACCTCTGGCGGTCACTCGTTCACGTCCCTGCCCGCTTCCTGCTCCACCCCCCGCCGGCGACGAGGGCGCCCCTGCCCCGGGTGGCGAGGGGCACGGCGGGCGGAGGCCACGAGGCCGATCACACCTCGGCAAGAGGGCCGAGGCCGCCGCCGCTGCTCGCGGCAGGGGAGGAGGTACGACTCGCCAATTGGTGGGGAGACCCGTCGAGCTCTATGTCGTCACCAGCCTACTGAAGGACCACGTCACAGAAATGATCTCGAGCACCCAGAAAGCTATCAAGACAGTGTCGTTAGAGGCTCAACGACTTCTGCCGTCCTTCGACTCGCGCTGGAGCGGCCGCGAGTTGCTCCCACTTTCTCGGGAGATCTCTGGATTAACCTGGATTCACCCGGATGTATCTCGATGTACCTGGATGTACCTGAATGTGCATCGATGTATCTGCCATTTACCTGGATTTATCTGGCTCGATCCCCACAAGTCGATTGGCGAAAAGTCGACAAGCCCTTAGGGAAATTGGTGGGGACACTCGTCGAGCTGAGCCTGGCCAACAGAGGCCGAGCTGCGCGACGTGTGCGGAGTCATCTGCAAAACATGCCTGCTCAGGTCCGAAGAGCTCTCGATGAAGGCCGGGCGCGTGGTCGGCCAGAGTTTCAACATAAATGCACAAATGGAGACGGGTCGGCTTCAAAGTGTGGTTCTCACCAACTTCCAAAATAAGATGAAAAGGGATTATAATGTTCAGAATGTGGCTCTCGCCTGAACGCCGGGCACTATCATTTAAGAGCATCAAGAGACGAGCAAAACCGTGTTAAAGGCTTCCCACTGCTACAAGGATCGGGGTGCGGCTCCTTTTCAAAATGGCTCTCGCTTGGCCCTTCCTGAAGCTTCATGACTAGATACGGAAGATGTGCACCACGTACACTGATGGATGGCGGTTCATATTCAATATCGGGCTCTCGCTTGAGGCCCCCTACCTGTTTATGGTCGGACATGCTAAAGTGCACTAGCAATCACACAAGTGAACTTTAGGATCCTACCCCGTTGCGCTTCTTACAGCTAGAAAGATGGAGATAAGTTCCACGTCGAAACGAGGCTCTCGCTTGAAATGCAAGTCCATGGGGCTCTCCTGCTTCATGGAAGGGGAGCTTCTCGCAATTGAAATGAATGGTTTCGTGGGCTCATGGTGAGGAAACTTGGGAAGAGAGCTGCATTGCAACATAGCTGATGCAGCCTGGGTTATGGTCCTCTTCCTCCTCCTGCCTTCCTGACTGCCCCTCCTCCTCCTCCTCCTGCCTCCCTCCTACTGCTCCTCCCACGCATTATGCCTTCTCCCTCCTCCTCCTCCTCCTCCTCATCATCATCATCATCATCATCGTCATCCTCCTGATCGTCATCCTGCTCGTCCTCCACTGCCGCTGACGACGACGACGACGACGACGACGACGACGACGACGACGACGACGACGACGACGACGACGACGACGACGACGGCGGCGGCGGCGGCGGCGGCGGCGGCGGCGGCGGCGGCGGGGATGACGAGACTCCGACGCTGACGCCAACGACGACGGCGCCTGCGCGCGCGACGCGCCGCGCGCCGCAGGCCGCCCCCACAGCGGCGCCCGCCGCGGCGAGGCGCGCGGCGGCACCCGGCGGCGCCTGCACGCGGCGGCGGGCGGGCGGTCCAGAGGCGGGCGGGCGCGCGCTGCCCTCGGCGGCCCTCGGCGGCCCTCGGCGGCACCCACCGAGAGCGCGAGCGGCAACCATTGACGAGCGCGCCGGGCGCCACACGGAGCCGAGACGAAGCTCGCGGAACGGCGCGGCCCTACGGGCGCGCCCGGTGGGCGGCGCTGGCGGCCGCCGAGGCGGACGCCGGCAGCGCGGCGGGCAAGGCGGCGACGGCGTGCGGCGCTGTCGGACAGCGCCCCAGGCGATCTGGAGCGAGGGAAGGCGATGCTGGGCGGAGGCCAAGCGTTCGGCGCCCGAGGGCGGGCGAGGTGCTCAGGGCCCTTCGCCAGTCACGCAGGACCGCGAGGGCCGTGCGGACGATCAGCAGGGAGGCTGGAAGAGTGGTCACTGCTGGGGGAGCGGGCCGGTGGAGGCCCAGCACAGACGCGCCTGGGCCCCACGGCGCGCCCGGAACGCCCTAGGCGGGGACAGCGCGGCTAGGCGGGTACGCCGACGCCGCGAAGGCGCTGGCCGCAGAAGCGGAGAGAACCTCGCCCGAGCCAGCGAGCACCATGGTGACCAGGGGAGGCGAAGCGGTGGAAGGGGCGCGTGAACGGCCAGGGAGCGGCCTCGACGATACCGCCGGGGGATCGTCGTCGCTGTCCACCTTGCCACCCAAGCCGAGAGGGCCATCGTCGTCGGAAGGCGCGAGCGCGTCGCACGAGGGATCCGGCGGGGATGGCAAGAGCCTGGGCCCACGCCAGGAGCAGGTCCCGCGCGGCCGCCCCGCAGGCCCACAGCGCGGGGGGCCGCGGCACCAGCGTCGGCGTCGTCGTCATGCTGGTCCATTTTACCGCCGAGGTGGAACGGTTCCTCGTCGTCGAAGTCAGGCCAGTGGTCGGCCCAGCCATCGTCTGGGTCGTCGGCGGCTGCTGTGGTGGCTCACCGGCAGGTGGTGGCGCACCTCCGCAGTCAGGGTGTTTTTGCGCTTCAGCCCACGTTCCATGTAGCCCGCCCGCCAACGAGAGGCAGAGTGGCAGAGTATTACGCCGCTGGTCATAGATGACCAAGGCGATAGTGCGCAAGACAACGGTAAGGCGTTGCCAGGTCTTAGCCGCCTCCACGACGTCTGGGAGCAAGTGGTGCAGGGTCACGCCGTCGGTGGCCAGGACCTCCGCCTGCAGAGTAAGTATTCGGCAGTGGCGGAGAGGCCAGCCGCGACACCCTCTTCGCCGAGGTGGCTGGCGACAATTTTACCAGGAAATGTCGGACAACCTGGCGGGCGCGGGCCCACAGGTCGGCACGGTTGCCCAGGAGCGGCGGTGGCGCCCGATCGAGGAAGGCTTGGATGCCGTCGACGCAGGCTCGGATGCCGAAGAGGACGTGCAGTGGCCGTTCTGCAGTGGCCACCAGGTGGAACAGCGCCAGCGTCTCGGCGCGCTGCGCCGCCTGGGAGAAAGAGAAGCCGTGGACTCATGCCGAGCCGTTGGGCTGGCGCGTCGTCCCGTCAAGACCCTGGGCACGGCGCGAGCGGAGAGAGAGTGGGCCTGGTGAGAGCAAGCACCGTCTGTGGCCGCGTAGACCCACCTCGCGCCGGTGTCCGGGTCGCTGAACTCGTACCACACGTCCAGATCAACATCCTCCTGAGCAAGACGGAACATGGGTTTCAAGAGTGGGTCCCTGAACAGCTTGGCCTAGAGGTCAAGCGGGCGCGGGTGCTCCTCGAGCGCGGTGCAATGGCGTGTGTTAGGGGGAACGCTTTCCACTACTCTTCGGTCAGCATGGGATTGTGGGGGGCTGCGACATTGGGCCTAGCAACGGCAGCAGCAAATACTCTGCTCTCTGGCGTCCTCCTTAACTCCTTCCTGTCGCAGCCCGAGACCGGTCGAAAGGGCGGGCCAGGCGTTTCGCCTCACCACTTATGGCCGTGAGCTTAGACATTGGCAACAATCCAACAAATGGAGGACGGGTGGTTTTCAAAATGTGGCTCTCGCCTCAGAGTCGCGAACCATCGTTTCAAAAATTATTAACAAAAAAATGCCACAGACTGATGGCGGGTCGTTTTCAAAATGTGGCTCTCGCCCTAACGCCGCGCACATTCGTTTGAGCTTCACGGGTTGAGGGCGGGTGGTTTTGAAAATGCGGCTTTCGCCTCAGCGCCGCGCACATGTTTCAAAATTCGCCAGAGTTTCACCGTTTAGGGCGGATCGTTTTCAAAATGTGGCTCTCGCCTTAGCGCCGCGCACATCCGTTTTGTATGTGCAAGAGATTCACGGATTGAGGACGATTCCTTCTCATAATGTGGCTCTCGCCTTAGCGCCGCGCACATTCGTCTTAAACACTTGCAAGAATTTCACGGGTTCCCATGGCCAGCGTACCAGAAATGTTGTTTCTGGAACGATTCAGTACTGCGAAGGCGCAAGAATTACATTGTTTCGCAGTGCTACGGTCCCAGGACCAATGTTCTGGCACGATTCAGGGTCGTCAAGACGCAGTCAATTTGATTCGTGGCTTTGGAGTCCCGAGAATGGTGTTATGGCACGCTTCAGGAAATTCAAACGCTTGTGCCCCAACAAGACAGATCCCTGTGGAAATGAACCCTTGAAAAGGGCCTGTGAAGAGCGAGCTTGGAGGAAGGAGAAATTCCAACAATGTTGAAGAGTCCTGGGTTTACACTGGTCCCCTCCTCCTCCTCCTCCTCCTTCTCCTCCTCCTCCTCCTCCTCCTCCTCTTCCTCCTCCTCCTCCTCCTCCTCCTCCTCCTCCTCCTCCTCATCATCATCATCATCATCATCATCATCGCAGTGCCGGGACAAAGACGATGGGTCGGCAGAGACATCAGCGCGGGCGTGGCGCTGCTAGGCGTGGCCGCCTCCGCACAAGCAGTTCAAGAGGAGGCCCCGCTGCCGCGGGATGCAGCTGGACTCGCCCTCTGTGCGAGCCAACCATGTCGTGGGTTAAGTCGAGCCTGTCCCCCTACAGGCCGATTTTGGACGAAGAATTAAGAACAGACAAGAAATACCCCAAAATGGCAACAACAAAAAAAACAAAAAAACGTCCCCAGGCTATTTTTTACTATTTTTGAGTACTTCCCCCCTGTAGAGGGACAGGCCCGACTTAATACTGCGCAGCGAACCGAGGTCACGCCTGGACTCTGAGCCGTGGCGCACGGGGGCAGGGCCGACAGCTGGTCGAACAAGGCTGGGCCCAGAGCCCAACCGACGACCTGGCCTGGATGGATTTTCTGTCCGAAGAAACCGTCGAAGCGGACGGTCTCGCTCGGGGAAACGGCCAGCTCGGCAGCGGCGGGCGACGTAGAGTTGCTGCCATCGACGAATGTGATGCTGAGCGAACGCGGCACCACGCGGTGTTGCCTTTTGGTCCAATCGCACATCAGCATTCGTCCAAAATCGAAAGAATTTCCCGGGAGGGGCCGCAGGTGCGGGCAAGGGGCGTGGAACACGATCCTGCAATGCGGATATAGCGGACGACGTGATATGGTGCAGGAAGTCCGCCTGACGGCACCAGTGTCCGCGGGGCAACACGCGTGGAGGGCAAGCTCCAAATAAACGTCGGAGATGAGGTAGCCGAGGCACTTCTGTCGGTCGAGGGCAGCACCTGCCAGGGGCAGGGCAGAGAGGCGGGCGTGCTCGACCTGGAGGGCCGGGCTTGCGCAGCCTAGGACGGCCCCAAGCGAGCCCCAAGCTGGCCTTGGAGGGCCTCCTGAGGGGCCCAAAAGCGGCCGTAGAGAGAGCACGTCGACGGCCGAAGACGGTCCAAAGACGGCCATAAGACACATTCCACACGACCAGGAGGGCCCGAGACGGCCCAAGAAAGCCCCAAGGTGGCCCATGTGGCCCATGGGAGCCCGTGGACCACCCCATCGGAACCCACTAAAAGGACGACAGAAAGGGAAGAAGACGACGAAGACGAGAGCAGAATCCCCGACACGACGCGGATGAAAGCGTCACATGTTACTGCTCTACCAAGCCTCGGGACACAAGGTGTCACACGCTACGGCCTCCTAAACACCCCCGACCAGTCGCCACCCAAGGTGCTGGGCTGGCATGGTGGCGGGACGTGTCACAGGCTGCTGCGCACTTCTATAGGATTGTGCCCCAACAGGTCTGCGGAAGAATGCAGCGCAACGGTTACAAGCACACGCTTGAGCTCGCACTTCTGTCGGCACGGTCGGCACAACCTTCGCAGACGTCGCCGCCGGCGTGGCCATCGACGACGTCGCCGCTCTCGTTGTGGTCGTCGACGTGATCGTCGTTGTCGCCGTTGCCGTCGCCGACGTCGTGATCGTCGTGATCGCCGACGTCGTTGTCGTGACCGCCGACGTCGTCATCGTCATGATCGTCATCGCCGACGTTGTGATCATCGTCGCCGCCGCCGTCGCCTTCGTCGCCGACGACGTCGCCGTCGCCGGGAGCGGGCGGTTCCTGGCGGCGGCGGCAGCGCCCGGGCCGCGCTGGCGGCGGGGGCACGCGGCCGCGAGCCTGTGCGCGCCCGCCGCGAGCCGCGCGCGAGCGGCGACGATCGACGCCCGACGGCGATGACGACGCCTGACGGCGACGACGACGACGAAGACGACGACGGCGACGACGACGACGACGACGACAGTCACGACGGCGGCGGCGGCGGCATCGACGACCACGGCGGCAGCCGACGCTCGACCACGGCGACGATCACGACGACGGCGCTCGACGGCGACGGCGGCGCCGCAGAGACTGTCGGCCGAACGTCCTGGCACGGGAACTCTTGGGTTCATTGAATTATGTTCGGCCGATCTCGATCGATCGGCACCTGGCTCTCGACAGGGGGGGCGTCCGAGATTCCAATTCAGAGGGCGGTTCCATAACGTTTTGCGGGCCGCGGCGCTTCCCTCCGACCCCCTGGCCCCCTGGCCGTGCGGGGCCCCAGGTGTCACATAAAGTCCGGGTGACCTCACGGGGGGGGCTGGCGAATCGGCCGCCCTTTTGGAGAGAGCCCCCTCCTTCTCTCGAATATAATCCAATTCAGGCGCCCGAAGCTCCAGTCCAGGGGTCGGTTCCATGACATCCTCTTCCTCCTCCTCCTCCTCCTCCTCCTCCTCCTCCTCCTCCTCCTCCTCCTCCTCCTCCTCCTCCTCCTCCTCCTCCCCGCCTCCTTCGCCTCCTCCTCCTCTCCTCCTCCTCCTCCTCCTCCTCCTCCTCCTCCTCCTCCTCGCACTGCCGGCCACGCGGCGGTCTGCCCGCCGCAGCCGCAGCGCGCGCCCGCGCCCGCGGCCGCGCGCTGTGGGCGCGCCCAAATGTGCACAAAGCACGCGCATCAGGACCTTTGTCCCGCCCCCTACCTCAATCGGGCCGCTGAGGCAGGAGGTGGGAGCCTCAGGAAACAGCCTCAGGAAACAGCCTCGGCCCGAGACCCCGCAAAAAAACCGGAAAGAAGCCTCAAAAAGCCTCAGAGGGCCTCAATGGAGGAGGGAGGCGGAGGCGAGGGCCCGCAAGTCAAAGACCCCAGGCCTAGGTCACTTCGGCCCCCGACCACCACCTCCATAATGGAAGTCGACCACCTCCTCGCGAATGCGACGAGGAGGCGGGGGTGGGCGGGCCAAATTCTCACGCACGTGCGGGGCCCCCCCCAGGAAGGAGAGAGCCAAACCCGCGAGGCATAGGCGAGAGAGGAAACCGGGGGGGCCACACTCTAAGACGAGGCGGCCGAGCCCCCAGGAGACCCCGAGGAGGAACGGGGAGCAGGGCATCCTGGGCCGAGGAGGGAGGCGCATGGGGTCTTGGAATGGCTCGGCCCCCTGCGCGCGGCCCCCGCGGGGCCAGGTGTCAGTTGTCGCGGTCGACCTCGCCCCCCTCGCGGCCGCCTGCACCCACTAGGGTATCCTGAGGGGCCGGCACGCTCACCGCCGAGGGGGAGTCCTCGACCCTGTTCTGCATGGGGCTGGCGTCGTTGTTGGGCGCCTGTTTGTTGTTGCCGTGGGGCTCCCTCGCGAGCCCCTCGCATGGGCATGGGCCCAGGCCGGGGTGGCCTGCGGCTCCGCTATTGGCAGTTGTTGTCTATCTTTTTGGACCGACCCTGCCCCCCGCCCATCGGCGCCAGCGGCGCTGCGGGGGTCAGGGGGGCCGTCACCACCCTTCGGTGCGATGCGCTGTGGTGACGAGCCGTCGAGGTCCTCCTCCTCGTCTGTGTTATTCTTCCCCGCTGTCGCGTTGTGGTTGCCATCGAGGAGGCCCTTGTCGCGGTGGTGGTCGATGTCGATGTCGTGGTGGTTCTGGAAGTAGCCATAGTTTCCGCCCCGCTGCGTCCTGTGCTGTCTGGCTCCTGTGGCAGAGCGCGGCGACGCCCGTTCGAAGCTCGCGCCTTCTGGGAGTCTCGGCTCCTGATATTGGGTTGGTCGGTCATGCTCGCTCTCTCCGAAGTAGCGGTCGCAGCTCTTCATCTGCTTGCGGCGACAGAGGAACTGGAGCAGGAATCATCGCGGTTAGTTCGTCGCCAATGCCTGTTCGCAGTGCGAGTGGTGGTCCGTGGATTTGGACGCAATGGCGTTCTGCGTAGTCTTCGGATAGCCCTTTGCTCCTGTTGGTCCGCCGTATGCGCCGTATCTCTTCGGATATGTCGTCTGCTGCGTCGTCGTCGAGCCGCTTGCTGAACTGCATGGCGAATGATGCGCACTGTCGGCTGGCGCACATGTGCTTGAACAATCGGTTGACCGTCCAGTAATCCCTCATACAGACCTGGCATATAGCCCCGTGGACGTTATTGTTGATATTTGCCAGCAGGCTGCGCTTCGCGCGCATGTGCTTTTGATACGCCGACCTGCTGCGCAGGACTTGCCCGCATTCGCAACATCGGCACCTGCTGTCGCGTTGTGGAGCCTCACTGACAGGCGTCGGAATAGTAGTGTCGCTGCAGATGTCGTTGGTGCGTCGTCTCCAAGCAGAAGTGGCTGCTTTCTCTTTGTTGAACTCGATGCCTTGGAGGGTTCGTCTTTTGCCATGCCTATCCAGTCGCGTATGTCGTCGTGATTAGGCGCGTTATGGTGCTTACTAGTGTACGTACTGATGTGGTGGAGACCGTCTGCAATCGTAAAGGACCATCTGCCGTCGTTGGCGATGTCGTAGTCAAGCAGAGCTCTTAATTCCGTCGGGCACGCGGTGGTGAGCCGCAGAATCTCTCGTAGCCTTGGTTGCCGTAGTCGTTGTGGGAGTGTCGCGATGCCTGCCCTGCTGATGATCCAAATGGTGGTGATATTCTCACGCTGAGTTGTCTGGCAGCCGATGCCCAACGCCATACTCGCAGCCGATGTGTAGGAAGTGGTGTTCCTGTCCGTGTCGGTCTGTTTTGCAGCCATCCAGGCACCTGCGTTGTAGTCGCGAGTAGCCAAAAGCATTGAGGTAATGGATCTTGGCCGTGGTCGTGATCTTGTCGCGCTTGAACACTGTCTTTCGGAGTGGTGTGGTAGCCTCCTTGAGAGCAAATACTCGCGCTGCAGCTTCCCGGGAGAAGTCGTTCCGATCTTTCACCACTGCGCCCAGGACTTTGAGCGAACGCGCGATAGTGACTGTCATTCCCATGTCAGAGTACTGCTGCTGGTCGATAAGCATTCGTCTCGCGATTATGTTTCCATCCGTGTTGTTGCCGGAGATGAGGAAGTTGGACTTGGCTGCGTTGATGGGGAGTCCCCGTGACAGTGCGTTCGCATTAGTAGCCCCCACATGGTTGTGACAGTGGACTAAATCGCGTTGCCGTCGGTGACCGTTGCCATATCTTTCACGTCGTCGACGAATGACGTTGTCGTCATGCGCTGGTCCTCGGGCGCCAGGCTGAAGACTGGCGGACTGGCTGGTATTCTTACGGCGGCGTCAGCGTTGATGGCCTCTTCGTGGTATTCTTTGGCGACTGCAGACATGGACGCGTCGAATGTGAAGTCGGCTATCAGTCCTCCTGGTCGCGTTCCTAGCCTTGGTGCCGCGTAGTCGAAGACGCGCTCTGTGAAGAACCATGCGTTGCGGTGGGCCTCGGTCAACATCATGAGCAGGTGCTGGTTGTCGACATGGGTGCTGACGATGCCGTTGTTGAGCATGGGGGCCTCGATTGCAGGTCGCATGCATTAGGGGATGTCCACGTGGCTGATCAGGTTGTCGATGTCGTCGGTGCTCATCTGCATGTCGCATACCAAATTCGTGGCTACCTTGTGAAAAGCAGATTCCGAGTCGATCATGATCACGATGAGGTCGGTTCCCTCCGCAGCTGCAAGGTCGACAGACAAGCGCATGATGAGGTGGTTGTAGTCCGTGCTGTAGTGGTTCCGACCTCCCATCTGCGCGCTAGCGACCAGCCTGGGTAGCAGGTCCTTCATGCACTGGCGTAGGTACCTGTAGTCCTGCATGATGATTGTGTTGGCGGGCGATATTTATCGGTGGTGTTGTAGCATCTCTTCGGTACCTTTCCCTTTTCAGAAGTGTGTCATTCGCGATCCTTTGTGCGCCACTCCTTCTCGGGTGAACAGTGCACTCTTTGTAATGAGCGGATGCGCGCGGGTAACTTCGCCAGGCCCTGCAGCGCGATCGGGTTTGGAACCCGCCAGTTGTTCTTGGAGCTCGTAGATGCCGGCGAAATTGCTGATGTTTCGAGCCGCGGCGTTGTCGCAGATGTCGCCGGTGTTGCTGCATCGCGTTGAGATGCTGGTCCTTGTCATGAAGGCTGCAGCTTCTAAGTTGCCGAAGTGGTGAACGGCCTCGTTGTGCTTGGACGCAGCGTTTGCAATGATCTCGCCGTCGCTGTCGATCATCGCAGGAAATGTCCGTGTCTTGCGGCGCGTTCGCCCGCCCAAAATAAAAGTTTGCGTACTCGTTTCCATCCGTGGCATGGCTCGTTGTCGCGCCTCGCCTCTGCTGCGCGCGTCGCTTGCTGGTTGAGGAACACGTCGTAGTCGTCGTCGACCAGTCGTGATGATGCGTTCCGAGTGTCGTTGTACCAGTCTCGCGCAGCGTCGAAGAAGCCTTTGTAGTCGTTGCTGTCGTTCGCGCGCTGAGCTTCCGCAGCGAGTCGTAGAAATCCGCGGTAGTGCTGGTCGAGGCACTTTGTCGGTAAGCTTATGGTCGGGCGTTCGATGGAGTAGGCTCTCTCCCTAGAGATCCTTCGGGTAACTAAGCGGCGATGTCGCCCGCGCTGCGCTGCTTTCCGCAATGGCTTGGCGAGTCGACGTCGGCCGGTGATGAAAGCGAAGGTCTGTTCGGAGATGTACTCCTGCATCTTCTTGCGCTGGCTTTTGGGCAGTGCCGCAGCGGCTGCCTCCACGATGCTGAGCGCGCAAAAATAAGCGCGCTGGTCTAGGCTGGTGCACCAGTCGGGGATCACTGTCGCATCGAGGATCTGCTTGAACTTGGTGACCACCTTCTCGTCCGTCAGCCTTGTTCTGTCGATCTTTGGGAACAGCTTCCCAGTGGCCCTGGTAGATATCTGCCAAGCGACTTGAGCGAGCACTGGAGTGTGATCTTCTCGTGGTCGGTCTGCTTCGACATGCTTTTTAACCGTCTCTAGGCCAGGCATCGTGGCAAATGTCGTCACGGCTTGATTCAAGCGTTCGCTTAGCATGATGTAGTCGATACGGCGTCCGTGACCATGGGCGCCTTTCCAGGTGTGGTGTTTGTTCTTGGTTCGTCTGACCTGCGAATGTTGACGATGGGCACGTGCGCAGACGCTGCGAATTCGTGTTGTCGCTGTCCAGGTTCGTCCTGTTGCTGTTGTAGTCCTGCAGATCCAACGCATTTTGATGTCGTAGATCCCACTCGCCCGCTCGCGGCAATGAAGATCACGGACGGGTTGAACTTCGATACCTGCTTGGTGAGGCAAACGACCCCAGCGTCGCATCGACAAGTCGGATCGGCGATCGAAATGAATCGGATCGGCGGAAATCGGCAGCCGAGTCAGGAAAAGTCGACGAATCGGCGGAAATCGGCAATCTAGCATGCCTCGAGTAAGGATTAGGGGCCCACATCGGAATCCGAAGTCGAAATCGGAATCGGAATCCATCGAAATCGAATCGAATCGCAAGAATCGGAACGAGCCCTGTGAGGTACTCCCAGAATTCGTTTCGTTATATGGCGTTATTCTGTTGCGCGGGGCGCGTGCTGCGTACGCGTACGATGCGGTCGAAAGCCTTCGCTTGGATCCGCACGATAAGTAGCCGTGGCCCGGCTGCAACGACGTGGAAGTCCGATGGTTCGAAGAATAATGGCCCCGTTGGCGGCGTTGCGTATGGTAGCGTAGGACTGGCCCACAATTCGCACCCGCAGTTGTAGTTGTGGTGTGGGCTGCTGATCATGTGGTATCCGTTGCTGGTGGCCACTCGTCGCTCGCTCGTTCCTTCTTAGAGTCCAATGAGGCGTAGTACGCGATGTTGTAGCTGACGTCGGATGATCGGCCCACGCCACTCGTTGGTCAGCCTTCCTGCTCTGGTCATGGTTTCCTTGACTGTCGGCTCCGCTTCTCTGGCACTTCCAATGTTGCATGGCATGATACTGAGTTTGATATCCGCTGAGATGTGGCTGGTTTCCGTCGGCGCTATCATGTACTCGGGGTTGGCGTCGCGCTGCGTGTTCTCGAACATGAGGTGGTTGTCTTGCTGAGCTGGGTATGCTTGTCTGTCTCGGTTGTTCTTGTCCAGTACTTTTTCCCCGTGGTAGTACTTGCTGGTAGTGATAGCGAATTGGAAGCTCCGCGGGATGCCGTTGGTGGTATCGTCCTTCTCGTTCTTCTTCAGCTCGCGCTTTGATAAGCAGTCGGCAAGTTCGTTCCAAGGCATCCCTTCGCGGCTTGGCACGCGGTGGAAGTCGATGCCAGTAATAGCGGTGGCGCAGGCGAGGACAAGCTTGAGGTACATGGAGGAGGTCGTGGTCTGCAATCGAGATAGCCGTGCCGCGGCATATGTCGAACACGCTCTAAACGTCTGAAAGGTTATGACGCGTTGCGGTTCGTTGGCCGCAATAATCCACATGAGTGTCTGTATCACTGCAATGATCTCGCCAGTGGTGTTGGTGTACGAGCTGCCGTTGAGGTCCACGTTGTGGCTATTGCTGACAATGCCGTAGGAAGCCCCCCTGAACGCACGTTCTTCTAACATACCACTACAATTAAAAGTATTCGTGTCATCCGTATTGTCAGCGTTAGCATTAGCATTCGCAGTATCATTGTTAATGTTGGTTTTAGTTCTCGTACTATTATTACTACTCTTATTACCAGTAGTAATAACCTCAATATTAATAACATATTCATCATCCTTTTCTTGCTTTGTTAGTAGCATCCGTACTGTTATTAGTAGTAGTAGTGGTAGTAGCAGCAGTTATAGGGTTATGGCTGATGTTATTATTCGTCGTACGATTATTAGTGTTAGTATTGCTACAGTTGTTCGTATCAGGTATCTAAGTATTATTCATATGCTTCGTATTCATTGTAGAAATCATAGTTATGATTCCTCTGAGAGGTCGTACTCTCAGGATTAATCCGATTCGTGGTATTCGTCTCTGTGCTCTTGATATTCGTATTGTCCGAAATACTCGTATCATTAGTATTAGTATTGAGCGTGATGTTAGAATTATTCGCATTCGTATTAGCAGTATTATTATTAATATGATCGTTCGTGTTAGCGTTACTCATATAATGCTTCATAGTATGATCACTACTCTTGTTAGTATGCGTAGTAAAATTAATACATTTAGTCGCATTCGTCTGCTCATAATCTTAATCACATATCAGTAGTAGAACAACTGTGATATACATATATATGTGCTTCGCATTCATATTATTCATATTGATATTAACAAGCGTGCCATTATTTGTCTGGTCATGTATATCAATGAGTACGCTTCTTAGTAACTCAGTACTATGATTCTTCATATGAGTTAGTATGACTTGTACTACTCATATTATTCGTAGTACTATTACTAGTTTAGCGTAATGGTTGTTCATATTATTATTGTCATTGCTATTCTGAATATTCCTCCTCCCCCTCTTCCTCCTCCTCCTCCCCCATCGACCTCCCCCTCCCCCTCCCCCTCCCCCTCCCTCTCCCCCTCCTCCTCCTCCTCCTCCTCCTCCTCCTCCTCCTCCTCCTCCTCGTCCTCCTCCTCCTCCTCCATCTCCTCCTCCTCCTCCTCATCCTACTCCTCCTCATCCTTCCCCTCCTCTCCTCCTCCTCCTCCTCTCCTCCTCCTCCTCCTCCCCCCTCCTCCTCCCCCTCCCCCTCCCCCTCCCCCTCCTCCCCTCCTCCTCCCTCCTCCCTCCTCCTCCTCTCCTCCTCCTCCTCCTCCTCCTCCTCCTCCTCCTCCTCCTCTCCTCCTCCTCCTCCTCCTCCTCCTCCTCCTCCTCCTCCTCCCCCTCCTCCTCCTCCTCCTCCTCCTCCTCCTCGTCATCCTCGTCATTCTCCTCATCCTCCTCTTCCACCGACTCCGATCGGGGGCGCGCAAACATGGATTAGCGATAATGCGGCCGGTGCCACCTCGTTCGGCGGCAGAAATCCGCGATCGATGTCCCATAGAAACGGGGCCCGTCGCTAATCCACGCTCCCTAGATCCATGCTTCCGATCGCCTGATCCGGGATTAGCAGCAGCATCAGCATCATCAGCATCATCAGCATCATCAGCATCGTCATCAGCATCATCAGCATCATCAACATCGACAGCATCCGCATCACCACCACCACCACCACCACCACCACCACCATCATCATCATCATCATCATCATCATCATCATCATCATCATCATCATCATCATTCCCCACCACCACCACCACCATGATCATCATCATCATCATCATCATCATCATCATCATCATCATTATCATCATCATAATCATCATCATCATCGTCATCATCATCACCACCACCACCACCACCACCACCATCATCATCATCATCATCATCATCCTAATCCTAATCCTCATCATCATCATCATCAGCATCATCAGCATCATCATCATCATCGTCATCATCATCAGCAGCATCATCATAATCTCCACCACCACCACCATCGTCATCATCATCATCGTCATCATCGTCATCATCGTCATCATCGTCATCATCATCGTCATCATCAGCATCATCATCATCAGCATCAGCAGCAGCATCAGCATCATCAGCCTCATCAGCATCGTCATCAGCATCATCAGCATCATCAGCATCGACAGCATCCGCATCAGCATCATCATCGTTATCATCAGCATCAGCATCATCATCAGCAACAGCATCAGCATCAGCATCAGCAGCACCATCATCATCATCATCATCATCATCAGCATCATCATCATCATCATCATCATCATCATCATCATCATCATCATCAGCATCATCATCCCCCTCCTCCGCCTCCTCCTCCACTTCCTCCTCCTATGCATCCTCTTCATCCTCCTCCGCCTCCGCCTCCTTCTCCTCCTCCTCCTCGTCCTCCTCCTCCTCTGCCTCTTCCTCATCATGCGCCTCCTTTTCCTCTGCATCCTCTGCATCCTCCTTATCCTCAGATTCCTCCTCCTCCTCCTCCTCACCCTCCTTCTCTTCCTCCTCCTCGTCCTCCTCCTCCTCCTCCTCTTCCTCCTCCTCCTCCTCGTCCTCCTCCTCTTCCTCCTCCTCCCCTCGTCCTCCTCCTCTCCTCGGCCTCGTCCTTCTCCTGTTGAGTGGATCTCTCTTCATCGTGGACACTGCATCATCATCATCATCATCATCATCATCATCATCATCATCATCATCATCATCATCATCATCATCATCATCATCATCATCATCATCATCATTGTCGTCATCATCATCAGCAGCATCATCATCATCATCATAATCAGCTTCATCATCATCATCATCATCATCATCATCAGCATGATCAGCATCATCATCAACAGCATCATCATCCAAATCATCATCAGCATCATCATCATCAACGACATCATCGTCGCCATCATCATCAACAACAACTTCATCAGCAGCAGCATCAGCACCATCAGCAGCAGCAGCATCCTCATCAACAGCATCGTCATCACCACCACCACAATCATCACCCGCCTCATCATCAGTAGCCGCATCATCGTCAGCAGCAGCAGCAGCATCATCAGCAGCAGCAACCGCATCATCATCATCATCATCATCATCATCATCATCGTCATCAGCAGCATCATCATCATCATCATCAGCATCAGCATCATCATCACCCCCATCATCATCATCATCATCATCATCATCATCATCATCAGCATCAGCAGCAGCACCATCATCGTCATTATTAGCATCATCATCATCGTCAGCAGAAGCAGCACCATCATCAACATCATCAACATCGGCATCGTCATCGTTATCATCATCATCATCATCATCATCATCAGCATCATCAACATCAACATCAGCATCATCATCATCATCAGCAGCATCATCGTCAGCATCATCGGCAGCATCATGATTATCCTCAGCATCATCAGCCGCAGCAGACTCAGCGTCATCATCATCATCATCATCATCATCATCATCATCATCAGCATCATCA